ACATTTAAGCAATTCATTAAAATTTAACTTTCTTAAGTACTCTGATATTATATTCTTAGCCAAAAAGTGGTCACTGCATTCACCAAAAATGATCTTAAAATATGGTCACCTCTTAAAAAAGCTACTAATAATGGTTTTAGCCACACCTTTCTGAACAAAGCTTCACCGTATTCTATCGTTCATTTTACAACAGCAATCGTATTTGAAAAATAACTATCCAACATTTCAACAAGTTGATTAAACATACTTTGAATGTTATGCCCTGGGGCATAGCTAGGGGGGCATGCTAGATTGCTAGGCCCCGGCCCACCCCAAATTTGAGAAAAGCTTTGAGTATATGTGTATAAAGTTTTATGCATAAAAATTATCTAAAAAAAACTTGTTTGTACTGGCCGAGCCAATTTATACCCATGGCTACGCCGCTGATGCCTAAACTTTGAAAATCATAGCAACTGCATACCTTGGCATTAGCTTTGTTTGATTCGGTAACACTTGCATCTCCTTCATACTTCTTCTGCAGTGCATCCCAAGCTTCTTTAGATGTTTCGGCATTAGCAATGCAAGGGAAAACAGATTCGTGTGTAGTTTTGTGGATAATAACCAAGGCCAAGGCATCCTTCTGCTGAACAATTTGCAAAGCCTCAACCATAAGCTCCTCTCTGGTATAGCCTCTTTCCACCAAGTCCCAAAAATCTAGGGTCTTGAGCATAGCTTTCATCATAGTTCTCCATGTCTCGTATCCACTCCCATTAAACCTCGGAATTCCACTCGACAAGAAGCTTGAGGTTTTCCAGATTACACAAAGAAAAACGGCAACACAGAGAAATTAAAATTCAATGCAATTAGAGACGAAATGTCATCAGGTTAGTAAGTTAGTTCCCATTAATGTCGTAATAAAACATACACACATGACACATAAATTGCTTCCATATCATGTGATCATGCATTGAAACAGAAGTGCTTTTAGTACATTAGTAGCCCAAACGAATCACCAATTCTTTGCGATCATCTCTCCACGATAGAGAAACTAATCCAAATTACCAATTAATCGATCCAAAAATTTGAATGACAACAAAAAAGTAGAGATCATTACCGAATATCGGCTAACAATTTATCTGCAGCTGAATCAACCTTCGTTTCTGGATCAGCTTGTGTTCCCTTGTAAAGGTATCCGAACTGCTCTGCGAGTCTGGCTACAGCTGCAACCGTCGTGAGGGTGGCGATGACCGCCGCATACATTTCCGCCCCGAGAGAAAAGGATTATTTTGCCGAGTACATCAACAGAAAACTGAGAAAAAAGGAACCTTCACTAATCCACTATGCATAGTGACTAAACAGTCAAAAGTTCCCATGGGCCCCACCCATCCTTGTCCCATTGGCCATTGCATATGAAGCACAACGTATATTGTTCCAAGTTCCAACAAGTAATACGGGTGGGCGTAGGCGGGTAACTCAACTTGTGTGCAACAAGGGTTAGGTCCCGAGTTCGACTCTCGACAACTGCGATGAGAAGTTAGGATGTTTTTACTTGGACTGTAATTTGCTGGTCTGGTCTGATCTGATCTGGTCTGAACTGGTCTGGTCTGGTAAGGTCTGATTTCTTTGTATTTTTATAACTATCCAAGTCTGGTCTGGTCTGAAATGGTCTGGTCTAGTCTGGACTGGACTGGTCTGGTCTGGTATGAGAAAAATTACAGTCTAAGTAAAAACATCCTTACTCCAGAGAGGGCCTCTGCAAGTACCGGGGACGGAACCCATCTCTCTATCTGTCAGATTATGATTATAGTCCAATTTACATTCTCTCATCGTATCGTCCAGTCGGTATTGGAGGGCCCTCAGGGATGGGGTGTCATCCTTTTTTCAAGTTCGAACATGTTTTAACTTTTAAATTGGATGCATTTATTGTTTGTCAATTCATATTTTCAATTTATCATTGTTTATCACAGACCGGTGGGCGTAGCTCAACTGGTATCGGGGACAGAGCCACACTCTCTATCTGTCAGAATGTGATTATAGTCCAATTTATATTCTCCCATCGTGCCGTCCGATCGGTGTTGGGGAGCCCTCAGGGATGGGGTGTCATCCTTTTATCACAGACTGTTTTACTAAGCAAAAGATACTCAAACGAAAAAAAAACTTTCCACTTTCATTTCTAGCCTGTAACAAAAAAATCTTCCTATTTTAAATTTTCTAATCATACTTTCAATAATTTTGAAAATAATACATTATTACAATAACTTTTTTGGATTTATCTTTCATTCAATCACACTATTTCAATATTTTCTATTCATACTCTCAATAATTTATATCATCTTTCACTATTCTTAATCTACCTACTTTTGAAAGGTGCACATTTTATATTATGGAGGGAGTATTAAACAGTGTCAAAAAAATGTCAAACAATATCAAAACAATGTCAAATTGTCAAACAATATCATTTCCTTAATGTGATTGCAAAAGAGTGTAAACTTTAATTAGGGACAGAGGGAGTAGAATATACTCTATAACGATGATGGTTCGTTGTAATGGATTCCCTCGTTAAAAAGTTGTAACAAGGATGTTCATGTTAAAATATAATGACAACATATTATCTCGTTGTTACTCATTAACAAAAACATTTTTGCTCATCACTACCTAGAAGGCTAGAACAACTGAATAGTATATATTTATGACGAAAATACGAAATAATTTGTTATTCTTAAAGTCTCACACGGGATATCACTGAGTAGTAAAAAACGATCAACTCTTATAAACAATATACAAAAGAATCTCATGCAGTCATACATAATACTACTCCCTCATAAATAATACCCCCACACTCCCAGGGGAAGCTCGAATGACTGTAAACAAAAGTATACATGTACCCGAAAATGACACAGGTGGGTAGGTAGATAATACCTAGGGGCGTGAGAAAACTCTCTCTAAGGAACTCGGCAAAATAGCCCCGTAAAAAGAATTTAATGACAAATTTACCCGTACTATTACTTTTTTCTCATTAACTTAAAGACATCTGTAAAAAGCAAGCATCATTTATTGTCATTTCTTAATCCGAGTGTCAGTCAAAGTTTGCAATTAATTCAGGACGGATGGAGTATAACCTATTCAAATAACAATAGCAACAAAAAACAATCAAGAAATCTTAAATTAGCACAAACTGATTATTAAATTTTCACAACTCAAGTAACCAAGAAAAATACATATGTCAATAAGAATAAATTAGCAGAACTTAAGCAAGCAAGCCACACTGGGTAGCATTTGAACTACGATACATACTGAGGCAAAAGTGTGGAGTCACCCTAGTCTCCTATCAATACAATGAAGAGTTAAAACCATACCATGGACTCTGTAGCATTTGATATCTTATTGGATATGCATATGTGATTTATCTGTTTTAAACATCAGCTATGTTTTTTAGAGAACAAAAAGATCGCATCATATCCCATACAATCGCATCATCTGTTTTAAACATTAGCTATTTTCTACTACGAATAAGATAAACTGAACACGTCTAATACAAACAACTTTTTTTGTGCTCGTATAGTAATGGAAAAACGTATCAACGTGACATTTTTTTTGGGAAAAAACGTACTTTTAGTTTCTGAAATAGTCATCATATTGAAATGTCAGACTCGTATTTCCGAGTTTGTATATATCATCTCTCAATTATACAAATTGTTGTTAATGTGGTCCTTTGAGGGGTGAAATGTACAATGTGGGCGAGAAGTACATTTCATCCCTCAAAGGACCACATTTACAATAATTTGGACAATTAAGGGATGAAATTTACAATCTAGAAAAATATGAGTCTGACATTTCAATATGGTGATTATTTCAGGGACTAAAAGTGCGATTTTCCCTTTTTCTGTTACACCAAAGAGAAAGAGAGATTGACTTTTAAATCTCAATTCAATAGCCTTTTTTGGTAAATTAGAAGATCACTCAAATAGTTAAAACTTAGGCATTCAGCTACCTTTACATCTAAATACCTAATATAAAAGAGAAAAACACTTGGCCTTAATCTTCCAAGTTCCAAATCCATAAACATCACAGCACAAGAAAAACGGTACTTGTGGAGTTGTGGTGATTTGCATCTGACTGCTCCAAAAGTGTTCCTAATTTTATACATTTCTAAAAACTTGGAAATTATGAAATCCATAAAAGTTCTTGTAGACTTAGAAATAGGTTCTTCTCTTCTAGCTTCAAACCTTTGCCCCACTCACTTTTCCAATTTAATATTCATATAGGCGACATAGATTTTGTAGTTCTCCGATTTTAATTTTTATGTGTTAATTTTTTCTTAAGATTGAATTAGCAGAATTTTTGCCATCACACTTACCCTTCAACGGCATAGTCCTACACCCCCACGGCCCCACCCAAAGCCTTGGAAACCATCTTCAGTGACTTGAAAAATCGCGCCACACCTCACCCTGCTGCAAAAGCTTTACCTCTTTTTGATATAGACACGGGCCACTTTAATAAAGAAGACAAATATTATAGCCAAGTTTATTTAGGAGGAAGCAGTTTAGCTGTTATTTCTTTTAACTGCTTGTAACTACTTACGGTTGGGAGTTATGTCTATAAATAGAATAAACTGGGGAGCTGGAAAGTTGGAGTATTATCTCCTTCTTTGGGACTTTGTAGACTGTTTGCACATATCAATACATTGTTGATTGTGTTCTTGATCTTGATTTCTTTTGTTGAGCTAGATTTCTGTTCGAATTACTGTATTCTTTCCCTGTGTAACTCTATCACTTTTCCCCCTCATACTACCCCAACTGCCCCTCCATCTAATTACTACCAAATTAGTGAACCTCGACCAGTGACACCCAAACTGGCCACCCGCCACCCTACTCCCATAACCTGATCCAGAATAGCAATAGTGACCCCAACCCCAGGCCAAGAGCAGGCGAGACTTTTTTGTGAGCACCAATTAAGTGGATTATACACACACACCACATAAAACTAGATCCAAGAGTTAAGCCATACTAAGATGACATAACGCAGGGTAATCTGACCATGAAACTAGAGGGTGATTTGTCTCAAGTGACATAACTTCACAAAGTATGAGAATGCAGAAGACCATTACAAAAGTGGTCATTGTCTTGTATGTGGACAACATCAAACTAAACCAATTAATACCTAGCTCGATATAATACTTTTATTTGATGCCTAGCGCAACCTTTGCCAATTTCTCAGCTTTCTTCAGCTCACGATTCATCTTGAAGCGCACTGCTGGTGCTGATTCAAACCCGTTCCTTTCAATGAGTTGGTGAGGCCTTCCTGGATTCTTCATCATCTTCTTTCTTTGTTCGGGGTTTGAAACTAGCTCATTCGGTCCGAAACTACCAAACAGCTTTGTTATACCCCATGCTGCAACAGCCACACCAACAACCACACCAACATTTTTGATGATCTTCATTGTCTTACTCTCCACTATCCGCACTCGGAGAATAACTCTGATACCGTGTCTTGGAGTGACCACCGGGGTATAGACTGGGGAGTGAATGCATGCAGGGGAGAGTGTTTTTGTATACATTTTGGCGGAGTGTTTTTCAATAATATATTTAATTGACTTCTCGATTTAATTTTAAACTAAAATTTGGTGAAATAATAATATATACATCATGAAAAAAAAATAAAAAAAAAACATCAAAAAAAACATGTTGGTCCCGGTTATCGAGGTAACAGTCTAGGGGGGGGTGAATAGACTGTTATGGTTTTTAACTTTTTCAAGCTAAGTACCAAGGTTAACAGAATAACCTGTTCTGATGGGGAACAGACTGGCAGCTGATGGTCTTCTGGTAGGGGTTCTGTCGGGCTAGCCTCACAGAGATGCAAAGGCTCTTGGCGTTCTGTTAACTCATAAGAGGTGTTCTGCTGAACACAGATACCACTTTTTTGGAGTTAAGCAGTTTCTAAGTAAAAGCAAGTATTAAAGTACGTAGATGACACCAAAGATTTTTATAGTGGTTCAAGGAACAACTTGTTCCTCTAATCCACTGTTCAACTAAGCTTGTAAAGAAATCGATTACAACGCCTTAGTCCTAACACTTAAGAAGCTCTCCACGTCTTCTTCAAGTGTAGATGTCTCCTGGGATGCACTTCCTTTCTTCCTTTAAGACTGGTCCTTTCACTGAGCTTCCTTGAAGTATTCCCACTTCATTACTCTAGTTACTTGGACGCACTTCTTTAACAGAAGTTGTTAAGATCAAGATTTTCTCCAACTTGCTTCGTTACAAAAGATGTGTAATGAGGTGCTTGAGGTGTTGAAGAACTTGGAGAAACTTTGCTCTTGGTTGGATGAAAGAATATGTGAGAATAGTATCTTTCCAACATAAGCTTTTCTAGTTGAGGAAGATGGAGTTTGAATCTCAACAAAGCTTTTTGAATTGTAGAGAGAGCAAAAGTCTTTTTGGTAGTTCTTCATATATATATATATACATATATATATATATATATAGAGAGAGAGATCAAATACAAACCCTTCTTAATTTACAAAGTACAAACTCATCTTGACCATCCGATGAGTTGATCCAAAGGACATAAAGGCAAGGTGGCATTTTTGTAATAAAACCCAACTTTTTTAGGGTGCAACTCGTTGAACGTTAATGTGCAACTGCTATTTTATGGCTGAATAATATGCACTACTTTGAACCTCAATATGCAATACAAAGAACGTTAAGGTGTATATATATATATATATATATATATATATATATATATATATATATATATATAGAGGAATGCTCCTGTCCAGACGTCCGGACAGGAGCCGCCGTCCGGCCGGCGACGTTTGGCCGCCTTCCCGGTGGAATTTTTTGATGAAATTTTTATGGCATGTTCTCCATCAAGTCTAGTTTATCCACAAAAAAATTCAGCCAAAAACTCAATCGGGAAGGTCGTCAAATGATTTTTGCAAGTTAACTGGTCCGGAATATGTGTATTTTCCGGACCAGTTAACTTGCAAAAATCATTTGACGACCTTCCCGATTGAGTTTTTGGCTGAATTGTTTTGTGGATAAATTAGACTTGATGGAGAACATGCCATAAAAATTTCATCAAAAAATTCCACCGGGAAGGCGGCCAAACGCCGCCGGCCGGACGGCGGCTCCTGTCCGGACGTCTGGACAGGATCTTTTCTATATATATATATATATATATATATATATATATATATATATATATATATATATAGAGGAAACTTCATGTCAGGCAGGCCTGGCGGGCTGCCCCGTCCGGCCGAGCCCGTTTGGGCACCTTCCCGGTGGAATTTTTTGATGAAATTTTTTGAGCATGTTCCTCATCAAGTCTACTTTGTCCATACCAAATTTCAGCTCAAAATTCGACCGGGAATGTCGTCAAATGATTTTTTCAAGTTAACTGGTCCGGAATATGTATTTTCCAGACCAGTTAACTTGCAAAAATCATTTGACGACCTTCCCGATCGAATTTTGAGCTGAAATTTGGTATGGACAAACTAGACTTGACGAGGAACATGCTCAAAAAATTTCATCAAAAAATTCCACCGGGAAGGTGCCCAAACGGGCTCGTCCGGACGGGGCAGCCCGTCAGGCCGGCCTGACATGAAGAGCACTCTATATATATATATATATATATATATATATATATATATATATATATATATATATATATATATACACACATATATATATACATATATATACATATATATGATATATTTATACATATATATGTATATATATGTATATATATATATGTATATATATGTATATATGTATATATATCTATATATATCTATATATATATATGTATATATATATATATGTGTGTGTGTGTGTATATATATTTATATATATATATATATATATATATATATATATATATATATATATATACACTAGGGTTGTTTTCCTGTTGGAGGAAGAAAACAACTTCATTAAATGCGCGTACAGTGGAGTTGACTGATTGGACCCGCAAAATTGGCGGCTTGCTATTTTGGATAAGGTTTCCCTGGAATCTCGATCAATCATCAGCTTTAACTTTTCAGAGCATAGAGCTCATTAAATGCACTGTCCTGTGGTTTTTCGTTGAGGAGCTCCTAGCCGTTAGGAAAGATTCCGTTAAGATAACCAGCTAAGTAAGTTTGAGAATGACTAAGTGTGAGGGCTTCTGTTGCTATATACAGAGGGGCAGTCTCAGAGAGCCTCGAGCACTTCTATTTAGTAAAGGTTCATCAGAGGGCCTGGAGGTCTTCTGTCAGTCGAATACTCTAGAGTGCTTACACTTAGAAAAATTCTAATACATCAATTCTAAATGGGGGTACACTAAAGTTGTGATAAATCTAGCATCATCAAAATCTAAATACATTTATTCCTTACAATTTCCCCCTTTTTGATTATGCCAAAACCCTTATCCTACTTTCAGAGAAATGTCTTTCACCATTAAAATAATTAAGTTAAATCTTTCAAAATTTTCATTCTTGGTGGGCATCTTTCATAGAAAGCGATAAGAGTTAGAAAGAATAAACAAAGGAATATACATAATATTAAGGAAAATACAACATAAAAGATTAGAGAAGTAACAAGAGGTAATCAGCAGAAGACTTTTATTGACAGAAGAGTTAGGTAAAGGCTATTATGTTTTGTCCATTCACGTAGGAGATGGATAGTTTCTGGTTATCAGCACGTTTCCTCCGAAATACCCCGATCTGGGGGTTCAGAATTGGAGGAAGTGGAGGATTTTGGAAGCCTTTGCTTTCCTCCCCTAGTCCCCTCCTCCTATTTTCTTCAACCAAACACACACAAATCACTCACTTCCCCTCCCCTTCCCTTCAAAACCCTCCAACCAAACAGGACCTTAAACAAATCAGTGAGGAATCCCAAACTACCAAGGGCCGGCCCAGGGGGTGTTTAGGCTGTGCGACCATACAGGGCCCAAAAAAATGGAAGGCCCAAAAAAATAAATTAGTATTAGATTACTACTAATCCACTACTTCGTATTAGTCAGCCCAATAGGGGGGAAAGGTGCGGGAAGGTTGGAGACAGAGTCCACGCGTGAAGTAAAGAGGCGAACGGGCAGTCTGGTACTGCGATCAGCGAAAGAGGAAGCGCAAAGGTCAAAGGGCATAGCGAACGACTGAGCGAGACAAGGGACAAGAAGACGATTCTCCATCTCCAACCTCCGCTCCAGCCTCCAACCATCCTAATAAGTTGTTGTGGCAGTTTGGCCTTCAGACGGCTCCGGTAATGTTGCATGTCCGTAACTAATACGGAGTACCTGTTCTTTATGAATTAATGTTGTAAATTTGCTTTTGTTTCACTGTATAACTTTATTTATATGTAAATAATTTTTTTCTTGGATTTGTTATTGTTAGTGAATACTAGCAACTTCTATTTTGACATAATTTTTTAATAAATTACCACTATTAGCAATTTACCGTTTCAAATATTCAATTGAAATATCATTTCTATTAACGAAGAAAGACCTGAATTTTGTTGTTGCATAGGGCCCTCAATTTCCCTGATACTACCCCCAACATTTAGTTATTGCTAGCTAAAACAACTGAAAACGACCCATATTATCGTTTCAATTCCCCTCATACTTGTATACTACATTACTACCCCTACCGCCCCTCCATCTTAATACTACCAAATGTCCAAATCAGTGACACTCGACCAGTGACTCCCAAACTGGCCACCCTATTCCCATAAGCCGATCCGGAACAACAATAGTGAACCCCAGACCAAGAACAGGCAAGACATTTTTGCGTCCACCTATTAAGTGGTTTATACACACACCACATAAAACTAGATCCAAGAGTTAAGCCTACTAAAGATAACATAATACAGGGTAAACTGTCCATGAAATTAGAGGGTGATTGGTCTCAAGTGACACAGCTTCACAAAGTACGATAATGTAGAAGACCATTCATTACAAAGTAGACATAATCTTTTGGATAATACTTTTATTTAATGTCGAACTCGATATAATACTTCTATTTGATTCCTAGCGCAGCCTTTGCTAATTTCTCAGCTTTCCTCAGCTCACGATTCATCTTGAAGCGCACTGATGGTGCTGATTCAAACCCATTCCTTTCAATGACTTGGTGAGGCCTTCCTGGATTCTTCATCATCTTCTTTCTTTGTTCAGGTTTTGAAACTGGTTCACCCGGTCCAAAACTACCAAACAGCTTTGTTATACCCCATGCTGCAACAGCCACACCAGCAACCACACCAACAGTTTTGACGATCTTCATTGTCTTACTCTCCTCTATCTGCACTTGGAGAACAACTCTGATACCATGTCTTGGAGTGATCATAGAGCTATAGACCGGGGAGTGAATGTAAGCAGGGGAGAGTGTGAACAAGAAACGCCTCAGGATCATCGAAAGAACAACTTTAGCTTCAATCTTTGCGAAATCCAACCCCAGACATGTTCCACGGTCACATCCAAACAACTGAGAGGTGATCAGATTTGTTTTGTCCTTGTCAGGCTGTTTTTCTTCGTATCCCTTGACAACCTTCACTCTGATGAATGGTACCAGAGGGTAGGACCTTTCACAATCTTCAAGAATCTTATCCATCTAACAAATAAAACAGGAAAACCCTTGTTGATTCGTTTTCTGTTTCTTTTTATAATAAAAAAAAAAATCTAAAACAAAAGTTGTTTTCAGTTTTTTGTTGGTATTTTTCAAAATTAGAATGTTTACGATAGGTGACTATTGATTTTTTCATTATAGTACATACGGAGTATATGATATAAATTTAAAAAACATAAAAACAAAGAACTGAAAACAGATGGCAATACTGAACAGTCTGAA